TGGGAGGCGATCCTCCAGGCAGGTCATCAGGCAGAGGGGCAGGCAGGCCCAGCAGCACAAGAGGACGTAGACAGCAGAGAAGACCAAGGAGCACAGGATGATGAGCAGAAGGCGATCCTGGGGAGACAGTGGTCATGGGGAATGGGGGGGTACTTGGGCCTCCCAGATCTAAACCCCACTTCAACAGCCCCGAGAATTCCCAGTCTCTATGAACCAGGCCTTCCTCAGAGGTGCCAGGTTCTGGGAACATGAAGCCATGGAAATAACTTTAGCATCCTATTCTTAGATAAGGAAAACAATTTGGGTTGAAGATAGAACTCAAGTTCAAGGCCACACAGCAAAGAGGCAGCAGAGTACAGGTGGGGGGCACTTCACGTTTCAACCTGATGCTTGGGTGCACTGTGCAGCCTTGGGTATGAGTCTCCATCCCTCTGGCCCAGGGTGGCCTTCATGGCTCCATGCCATCCCCACCCCCATCCGACTCAGGGGGCAACCCCCTAGCTGATGATCAGGCTGGGGATCAGTAGTCCAGGTGGCAGAGGGGGACTTCAGAGAAACACTACTCAAGAAATGCTTTCAGTACTTGGAGAGCTGCTACCCGGACATTCCACCCCTAGAAACCCAGTGCCAGAGGCTATTTGAACCAGGAAGTCCTTCCAGCCCTCTAATCTAGCCTGGTCTGGGGCCAGCCTTGTTGGCCCACTCAGTGAAAGCCCCCTTGAAGCCTTCCAGGAGCTGCTGCCTGGTGGGGGACAGGATCCTCCAACTGCCATTGCGTGCTGGCCCATCCTGGTCAACATGTGTCTCTCGGGCTCTCATTTTCCAGGCCCTATGCCACCCCTCACAAAGCAGCTGCTGGTTCTCTCTGGAAAGCAGAGTGGGAAAGCAGCCCCTGTCAGCCCCCGTCAGCCCCCAGGCACATCCTGCCAAAGGTCTACCCTTTCTTTTCTGCCCAAAGTCACATCAGTTTCTAAAAATAAATCTCCTCTGCGGCCAGCTGTTCAGGGGATGGGGTTTAGTCTGTGAGGGTTCAGGCTCTGCCGAGCACCTGGTCCCCTGTTCACAAGGGACCAAAGACCCAGAGACCTTGACTCACTCAGTTTGGCCACTGACCTTAACATCCCCATCACTCAGGTCTCTCCCCACAACCAGGTACCCTCATTAAAGAGAGGGCAGCAAAAAAAATAAAAAATAAAAAAATAAAATAAATAAAAAAAAAAAGAGAGGGCAGCAGACCTGAACTTTCCCACACTAGCTCACTCGGGGGTGGACCCCATGTGGGTGACCATGTAGTACTATTACCTCCATTTTATGGACGAGGAGAGCAAGATACTGAAACCAAAAAGGGGATATCATTTGCCTGGATCACACCATCTCCAAGAGCAGAGCTGGGCTCTGAGGCCAGTCATCCTTCTCCTCTGCTCGGGAACAGTGTGGTCAGAGTCACCACCAGGGTCTGGGGTGTGGCTTAGTGGTGGAGGCTTAGTCCTTGGTGTGCCCAAGACCCTGGTCCAATCCTGAGCACCTTCTCCAAAAGTGACCATCATTCTTGGCATGGGAAAGCTGCTGAGGCTACTCTGTGGCAAGGTACCTCAAGTCCCCAGGAGCCCTTCCAAGCCACTTACCCGAGCCTTCATACTGTCACTGGCTGTCAGCAGTCGGGAGGCTGCTGTCTCCAGGGCTTGGGCTGGAAAGGGGTGTGAGCCCGGCACCTGCCAAGACCCAGAAACTCAGAACAGGGAAGGGATAGTGGGCAGGGTCCCGAGAAACCGAGGCAGAAGAGGGTCCAGGCCGGGGTCAAGGCAAATGGAGTTGAGGTATCAAATGCCTTAAAGTCTCAAAAATGGGACCTCAGCGTCCCACCCTAAAGGAGCTAGAATCCGAGACCTTCGAGAGTCCTCCCACCAAGCCAATCCCCAGTGTGCAGATGAGGAAGGAGAGGCAGCGAGGAGATGCTCCCGACTCAAGGTCACCCATCAGGTCCGAGGCACATGGAGTCAGGAGCTGGAATTCCTGCCCATCCATCCTACCTCCCTACCCGGGGACGATGGAGAGGCCTGGGACCCGCACGACTGGGAATTCCACCCCTCAAGATTCCCCGCCCCCTCCCCCGGCCGAGCGCTAACCGGGCGGGCAGTTTAGGGCGCTCCGGAGGCTCCCGGTTCGGTGCTCGCAGATCCATGTCCCGCGGGCCGGGCGGGCCGGGCTGGAAGCCGGGGCCCCAGGCGGAGGCGGCGCCGCGGCCGCAGCTCCTGGAGGCTGGGAGCCCAACCAGCGCGGCCGGGGCGGAGGCGGGGCCTGCGGGGACGGGGCGGAGACTGCGCGCCCGGGGCGGGGTCTAAGAGCGCGCCCGGCGCGACCTGGGGCGGGGCCAGCGGCGCGGGCGGGGTGTGCGTGGCCGCCCACACGGCCTCCGGGTGAGGGCGGGGCGCCCGCATCGCGGCTTTTATCTGGATTCCTGCTTCTGCCCCTTTCGTCCTCCCGCATTCTCTCCGGTCCCTTGCCCGGGCGCTGGACAGAGGAACGAGACCCGGAGGGTGTCGGAGCCCGGTGCGGTGGCGGCCTGGCGGCCTGGCGGTTCAGACTTGAGTTTCCGCCGCTGCGGGTGGGGGCCAAGGAAATTAATCAGGGCCTTGGTCAGGGAGCCTGCCTTTCAAGTTGGTCATGTTGCCAGTAAAATGTAAGAAGCTCAGTTAAATTGGACTTTAGTTAAACAACGAAGAAGCGAATTTTTTAAAATATAATTGATCGTGACCCGGTGACCCTCACCTGAGCCTGTGTAAAGTAGAAATGTGAGACCGAATGAGCCAGGATTGGATCTGCGGGAGGCTTCCCTCCAGAGCAGGTCTCCAGAGAGACACCTCCCAGAGCTCTTTTCCCTAGTGCCTGTGAGTCCCATTAATTCAGTCTCATCTGAACCGTGTCCCATTTGAAGGCTCAGATGGCATCCCATAAGGATCTCAAATGCAGATGACTTCAGGGGCTCGACTGAAGGGGCAGGTATGGGGCCAAGGGGGCGGGGTAGGCCTCCTGCAAAGTGGAACACACAGGTCCCAAGATCTTTTTTTCTTAAAAGTTGCATTTGGGCAAAATGGATAGAGTGCTTACCTAGCATGCACAGGGCCCTGGGCTCCATCCCCGCAGGCAGAAAACAAACAACAATAAAAAAAACCATCCCACCTAACAATAAAAAAACCATCTCACCTAACCATCCCAGCCAAGCCCACCTACCTGCTTTGGGGCACTAGCCTGGGAACCAGCCTAGTTTCCTCTCTGGACCCCATTTTAGAGTCCATTTTCCATTTTCTCAGAGGCTTGGGGTTGGGCAGGATGCCAGAGGGTCCATCCCCAGCAAAGCAACCTTCCATGTCTCCCCTGCTCCGGGTGCAAGGCCAATCCCCCCGCCCCCAGGCTCCCAAGCCTTTCCCTATTTTGTTCAGGGGCAGGGAGAGTGACTCAAGTGGTGCTGATCCTGGAAGTTCCCTTTGAGCACAAGCCCTCCTTTTTCCGCCCAGCAGAGCTTGGCCCCTCAGTAACACAGTAGGTCCCCATAGTCAGAGCCCTGGTGCCTTCCAAATCCTAGTCCTTCCAGTTTCTCTGAACACAGACCCAACCCCAAGGGCCTAATGGTGAAAAGTTCCCTGTGGATTCATTCATCACACACAATGACTGGTGAAGCAATGATTCCTTCCTCGGAGATTTGATAGGGCAACAGACACAATGACATGCCCAAATTGCCCAAGCTCCAGGGTAGATAAGGATCCTAAGTCCATAGTGGAACTGAGATCAGGAAATTTGACAGCCCCAGATGAAACTCTTCAGTTGGGTTTTGGAAGCATCAACCATCCTTACTCCAGACTATAAGCCCTGTACCATGCTAAGGCCTGACTGCCTTTCAGTCACTCTCCTTCCACTCTGGCCATCCTCTGACACACCAGACACATCGAGTTTCTTCCTATCTCAGGACCTTTGTACTCATGGCATCTTCTACCTGGACTTCTTATCACATGGCTGGTTGACTTTTTTCGTAATACTTGTCACACTCTGAAATTTCTCTGTGTGTTAATCAGTTTCTTTATTTATGGCCCCTGTGCCCACTAGATTCTCCTCTCTGACCTGTCATGTTCTCAGGGACATCTCCAGCTCCGCACAGTGTCTGGCACATACTAGGAGCACCTAAATGTCTGTTAAATGAACAAAAGAGGCCAGGAGTCATGGTCCCATGAGAACCTGGGCAATTCACTCCCCCACCCCTGCAGCTGAGTGCCCCTCCAAGACGCACTGCAGGGCTGGCCATCACTCTGCAGGACAACAGGGCTCTGTGCTCTTGGTCAGCCCCGTCCGATCCAGACCCAAGGAAATGTGGCAGCTGACCCCAGTTCCTGCCAACACCCTGCTCCCCTAAGCTTCCCTGACCCATCACCTCCCGTCTGATAAGGAGAACTTAACAGCTCTGCAGCCCAACTTCCTGCTGGGCAGGAGTAAGGAATTCCATGGTTCCTGGCAGCTCAGAGAGGTTGAGTCATGACCCAAGGCCACCCAGACAATAGCAGTGATGTCAATATCTTAAAAGTAAATATCCCTGGAACTCATGCTCCCACCATCCGTCTAGGCTGCATCCAACAGGGCATTGGAATGAAAATATTGGTGTCACTGAGTGACCTTCCGCAGCCTCCCCTAGGGGTCTCACCCACACTCCCCCCACTGTCCCATTTCGCCCCCAGGCATTTTCTTTCTGTCATGCTGGGCTTCTCCCATCCCAGGGCCTTTGATGCTCTTGGCTGGAACCCCCACCCCCCGCCCTGGGAGTCCTCTGACTCTTCTGGTCTCTGTTAAGTCCACTCTCACTGGAGACTCCTGGCTGCAGCTCCAGGGCCCCTGTGCTTCTCCATGGGGCTCTGTCACACCAGATTGCTTTTGTCACCCAGACTCTGAGTTCCATGAAGTCATCTTGCTCCATCCCCGGGTTTCCATTGCTCAGCAGAGAGCCTATCCACATGGCAGGTGCTCAATAAATATTTAATGAATTAATGAGGTCTCTTCATCCTTTCCAACTTCACACATTAAACCACTGAGGCACAGAGAGGTTTAGCACCTTGCTCTGGTCACACAGCCTAGAGCAGCTGAAGGAAAGGCCCGCTTGGGCCTGGTTGGATTGGACTGGGGTCAGAGGCCAGGCTGGAGTTTCCTGGAGGAGGGAGAGGGGGTGATATGGGGCTAGGAACGGATCCTAGTAGTATTTGTGCAGTCCAGACCTTTGTTCTGACAACTGACGCTTGCCTCCATTTCACAGATGAGAAAAATGACTCTCAGAGGAGGGCAGAGCTCACTGGAGATAAATGGTGCACTTTTAAAATGTATCCCAGAGCTCCAAGAAGCCCCCTCCCCCGACCTTCTCCCACCTCCGAGGGAGTAAGGCCTGGGTACTCAGGGCTGAACTGGCCACTTACCCCTTCAGGCCTCTGGGCCTCTGTTTCCCCACATGGATGACGAGGGGAAGGGCGTTCAGCCTCCCCCCTTCCCCGGAGCATGAGGATAGGGCCCGGGAGCCGGTGCCCAAGAATACAGGCTCCCTGGTCCAAAAGGCATGGTGGAGTCCTGGTTCCAGCATTTATTGCTGAATAATCTTGCTCAGTGCCTTCACCCCTGAGCCTCCATTTCATGGTCTGTAAAGAGAGAATAGTGGCATTTTTTGAGGATTAAAGGAACTGATTATAGGGAAATCCTCGACGCGACACGGGGCCCAGCACCACCAGCAAAAGGAGCAGAGCTGGTTGGCGGATGCTGCCCTCTGATGGCCATCCGGAGGAATGGCAGGCGGGCTGCCCGGGCCGGCGGGAACCAGCGTTCCTGGCGTGCGCCCATTTCCCGAAAAGGAGAAGGAGGCCAGGTGCTGGTCACTCGGTGTGCTCCTCTACCCACTGGCAGAGGCGACGGGCGTAGCGAGCCGGGCTGACGGTGGAGAAGGTCCGGCCCGGGTAGCGCAGCGTCTTCCACAGGTGCTCCAGCCGCTTGCGAAGCCCGTAGACGGTGGCCAGATCCACTAGGCCCAGGAAATAGCGCTGCTCGGGCCCGTCCAGGATGTGGAGGGCGTTGGGGGCGTCTGGCAGCAGCCGGCGGTTCTGCGCCTCCGGCTCCTCCGGGCCCTGCGCCCCTTGCACAGACCTGGGGTGGGCCAACAGCAGAGTGAGGCTGCCTCCTCCTCCAGGGAGCCCCGGCGCCCCAGCCCCGCTCCCTCCGGCCGCGCCTGGGCCTGTGGCGTGGGGTCAGCTGAGGCCGAGGGAAGGGCAGCCTGCGCCCCCGAGCTCCCTGCAGGGCACAGCACTGGCCACACGTGCCCGGAGCACCCGAAATGCAGCCGGCCCCGGTGGAGACGGGGCCGAGACGGCATGAAAAGATTTTTATGTTGATCAGATGAAATTGATCAAATTTGGGATGTACTGAGTAAATTATATTGTTAAAATTAATTTCATCTGCCGGAAGCGGTGGTGCACACCTGTCATCCCAGCGTCTCGGGAGGCCGAGGGATCGGAAATTCAAAGCCAGCCTCAGCAAAAGCGAGGCGCTAAGCCACTCAGTGAGACCCAGTCTTTAAGTAAAGGGTTGGGGGTGTGGCTCAGTGGTCAAGTGCCCCTGAGTTTAATCCCCTGTACCAAAAAATAAAATAATAATGATAATAAAGTTCAGGTGCTTTCATTATTTTTGTCTTGGGTCGTGCCAGTCTAGAGCATTTGGGTCACACAGATGCTGGCTCTGGGCTTATGAGCCATGTGACTTTGGGTAAATCCCTTATTTGGGTATTGCCTAAACTGTTTGGGTTATCTAACCCGGGAAGTCTCAGGGCCACAGCTGAAACTTTTCAAACAAAGTACAACAACCCCAGTTTGCAAATATGTGTGCATGAATTGCCTCAAAACATACTGCAAATCAGAAGATATATTTGGCGAGACTACCAGTCCCAGCAGAAGCAGGTTCAATTCCCTAACTTTGTCCTGTGGGGGTCACTGAGGGACTTTATTCCTGTCCTATCAGGGCTTGGGGGAAAAAAAATGCCAAAGAAGATAAACCCTGTCAGAGCACCAATCAATCAGGACCGGGGGTTTGAGAGTCCAGGCAAGGTGTACCTGGGGGTGTGGGGCCGTGTGTTTGTTTTCTGAGTGGGGGTGGGAACTGGGGGTGGTGGTGAGAACCAGCATAAAAAAATTTCTATGTAACAATAACCTCAGTAACCTTTCTTTCTTTTTTAGTGGTAGATGGACAAAATACCTTTATTTATTTTTATGAGGTGCTAAGGATCAAACCCAGGGCCTCACATGTGCTTGACAAGTGCTGTACCCCTAAGCCACATCCCCAGCCCAATAACCTTTCTTTCTTTCTTTTTTTTTTTTTTTTTTTTTGGTACTGGGCATTGAACCCAGGGGTGCTTAACCACTGAGCCACACCCCCAGCCTACCCCCCTCTTTTTTTTTGTCTAGAGACAGGGTCTCACTAAGTTGCTTAGGTCTTTGCTAAGTTGCTGAGGCTGGCACTGAACTCGCCCTCCTCCTGCCTCAGCCTCCTGAGCCACTGTGTACCACCACACCCAGCTGTAACAATAACCTTTCTAAGCAAACCAGGACTTGCTGGCTGAATGCCAGCAGTGGCCTAAGCATCAGCTGCATGTAGAGGGCAAGGAAGGAGCCCACCTGAGCTAGTCAGAGAAGGCCCTATGGCCACAGCAAACACCATCTAATCAGGTGGGCCTAGCTGCCTGGGGAGCATCACCCTGGGTTCTGCCTATCCCCACCATTCTTTTCTTCCTTCCTTCCTTCCTTCCTTTCAGTACTGGGGATTGAACCCAGGCCTTGCACATTCTAGTCAAGTGCTCTACCACCAAACCATATTTCTAACCCTTTTTTAAAATTTTGAGATAGTCTTACTAAGTTGCTGAGACTGGCCTCGAGCTAGGGAATCCTCCTACCTCAGCCTCCTGAGCAGCTGGGAGTATAGGTGCGTGCTACCATACCCGGTGGCAAGGACTCTTTCTGTGGCTGAAATTAAACAGGTGTGTCCCCTGGTCTGAAACCTTCAATGATTCACATCCCCTGCTGGAAAATGGGCAGACTCTTCAAATCAGTACTGAGTCCCTTGACCAACCGGACCTCATCAGTTATGTCCCTGGCTGTGGTCCACCTGTGCCCCTTGCCTCTACCAGCCTGGCTTCTCTAGCCCCTGCCTTCCATGCACATGCTCACACCTACACACACTCACCTGCACACTCGAAGACCCTGCACCTCCCAGTGTCTGAGTCTGTGCCCTGCACACCCAGCGTTCCCACACCTTGCCCTCTGTCTTTCCCACCCTTCTTCTTACTGTTGCCCTGTGGGGCTCACCTGGCCATGCGGAAGATGAGGCAGCTGCCCTGGCCCCTCTCGTCCTCATGGAGACACTGGAGGGCCATCAGCAGGCTGTAATCCAGCACGTTGAGCTCCCGGAGGAAGGTGGTGTCCAGTTCCATCTGGCGGAGAAGCCAGCTCCGTTGGGGCCCTGAGGAGCATCAGTAACCCCCTGAGCTCGCAGCATGGGCTAGCCACAGGAAGGAAGTCCTGTCCCCAATTCACAAATGGGGAAACTCATCTATCATTTTCCCCGGCCACCTAACTTTGCAGGTTGTGAAGCCAGGATTTGAAACCTGTTCTACTTGACCCCAGAATCTAGGCTCTTAAGGACTCAGGCAGAGGGCAGTGCAGGGACATCCATCTGCAATTCACCCTGGCACAGTCAGTGACCACACCCATGGCTCACCCAGGTTGATGGTCTTGCCCTGAAAGTTGAGGTCCTTCAGCACTAGGACAAGGGGACTGCCCTCAGGGGCCGGCTCCACCCAGCGGCTCACCTCGCAGCCCTTGATATCATACCTGAAGGTGGGCAGACAGGTTCAGGTTTGCATAGACAAGACACACAACAACTCCACAAGTTAATAATTAGAAGACTTTCTACTGGGTGACTGTTGGTGTGGACACCAAACTCCTTATATACAGCATCTCTAAAACTCAGAACAACCCCAGTCTGCTAGTGGCCCCATGCTAGAAATGAAGAGACTGGGGTCTGGAGAGTTCCTCTGACTCCTCTGAGCCACACAGTAAGTAAAGACCAGAACAGGGATTCACACTCAGGCCTCTGGAAGCCCAGCCCTGATGTAGCTCATCTTGTAGCTGCTTCTTGACACCTGGTCAACCCAAGAGTGTCCCAGAAGCAGGGACATCACCAGGAGGGCAGGGGAAAGTCGATGGCTGTGGGGAACCTTCGCGCAGAGTCACCCGTGGCTGTATGTAACTGGGCTGGGTTTGGATCCCTGCTCCTCTTATTCATGGTATGACCTTGGCCTTCCTCAGTTCCTCAGCTATAAAATGACAATGGCAACACCTATCCCTCCACCTCCTTCTGGGAGTAAAGAAGATAATGAACGCAAGAGCTCAATACAGTGCCCAGAGCATACTGAGTGCGCAGGAGATGCAGGTGGCTGGTGTCACTGTCTCTGACCCACGGGGTCTTTGGAATGTCCCTTCTTCCTCGGCCTCCGTGAGTATGCTTTAGGTGACGCACTCCAGGTGGCATCGTGGCCCTGTGCCTACTCCTGGCCAACTCACCTCTCGGAGATGCGGCCGGCGGGGTAGAAGACGCTCTGCATGATGATGAAGTATTTCTGGGGACAGGCGTGAGGAGTGAGGAGAGCCAGGACCTCACCTTCCAGCCGCCCTCCGCCCAGCCACCTTGTCTCAGCCTCACCCACCTTCTTTCCCTGGGCCACCCTCAGGCTGTGGACTCCTGGAAGGGGAGAGGGCGCAACGTGAGACCCCCAAGTTCCACACCCTGGTTCCAACCAGCCTCCATGCCAGCTCCAGGCCTCGTCCTCAAAATTCGCAGCATCCTGAGCCCATCTCTCCAGGCCCCGCCCCCAGACCCCTTCTCTGACTTGAGCGGGTGTCCCCACCCCAGACAAAGCTCCAGCGACGCTCCCACAGGCACGGTCCCGGGCACCCACTGACTGTCCAATCCCAAGTCTATACCCTGGGGATAGACCCAGACCCTGGCCCCGCCCACAGACCCCAGCACCGGCCGGAAATTTTGCCCTCTGAGGCCCGCCCCCAGCCCGCATACCCAGCAACCGGGCTAGCAGCGAGTGCGGGTGCCGCTGTAGGTGCTGCACGTAGCGGGGCAGGTGGGCGAGCAGCACCCTCACCTCCCGGCGCCGCTGGGTCTTCAGAAAGAAGCGCTGGTCGTGGCTGCGGGGTGGGGAGGGGGTGTCTGTGTCTAACCTGGCTGAAGAGTCTCCCACCCGGCCTCCTGCAGGAGGCTCCTCCTCCCGGTCTGGTCCTGTGGCCTCCCCGCCCACCCTGGCCCTCAGTCTTTCCTCCCCACATTAGACCTTCCCCTGGCCCTGATCCTCCCTGAGCTTGACCGCTGTTTCTCTCTCCAGTGGACTCTCCCCCTGCCCGGGGTGCCACCTCCACCCCGCTCCCACCCCTGCACCAAGCTCACGACAGGAAGAAGCTGGCCTTGCTCTTAGAGGTGCTGAGAAACTGCAGGTAGGGGCCGCCGGGGCCCAGCGCAGCCTGATAGTCCTCTTCAGCTAGACCAAGGGAGCGCCGCAGCCGGGCGAAGGCTGGGCCAGCGAGGGTGCCCAGCTCGAAGCCCTGGGAGGGGAGCAGGGTGGAGTGGGAGTTGTGTGGGGGGGGTGTCACGCAGAAAGAGTAGCTTCCAGGGAGTCTCCGCTGGTCCAATTGTCCCTGCAAGGCCCCTGGAACCAGCCATCACTCCCACTGCACAGATGGGGAAACAGGAGGAGCCAGCGCAAAGACCAGGCAGGACAGGCCCTCTCCTGCACAGCAGTCTTGGGCTTCCTACCTCATGAACCTGGGTCAGGACCTCAGAAAAATCCTCCTGGGAGGGCAGCCCCTGCAGGGAGCAATAGAGGGTGTCAGGGAAGGTCAAGGCAAAGTCCCCCACTGCCTTCCCCAGGAGCTCAAGTGTCCTACACCTGGCCTTGCCCCCTGATCTCAATTTGATTTCTTCAGAAAACAGGGACTTGAAGTGTCCCTGTGTGTGACTGAATTGGACAGATGGACTTCCAGCACTCCCAGGACTGGAGGAAGGGCCTCTGTAACCCGAGGCAGGGTATGTCTAGTCCACTGCTGGGTCCTCAGCACAGGCTCTGAGTCAAGCATGGCACATCACTCAGACACAAGTGTTAGCCAAGTGAAGTCAGATTTCATCCGTACAGAGAGATGGACCTGCCTGATACATCCTGGAAGGGGCAGGATCACAGAAGGCTTCCTGGAGGCTTCCTGACCCTAAGCTGAAATATGAAGGGTAGTGGAGAGGGTGCTCATGGCAATGTCAACATTGTGGAGCAGTGTGCAAGGGAGCAGGTGCACTCAGTAGCCAGTAAGGCAGAGATGGAATGAGGATGAGGTTGGACAGTTGACCCTTATAGACAGCAGGGTCTTGAGCCATGCCGAGTATGGGGGCCCTGTGGAAGATTTTCATCTGGTGTAGAATTCAGATTGGGTTTAGACTCACTGGGGACTCTCTCTCAACCCCAGGTCTCTGTACCAGGCCTTGGCCATGTGATATGGCCAAACTGTGCACATGTGCACACACACAAACAACATACATGCTCACCCAGGCCTGCCCAGCTGCTGAGCTTGCAGCTGGGTGACCCTTTCTGCTGAGCCAGCATGGCCCCAGCATAAGCTCCAGGGAGGATGGGCTGGGCTGGCAGGGTGGGGGTGGGATCCCTTCTCAGCTGTACACCCTGACAGGGAAGGGATGACCTCAGAAACCAGAATATAAATCCCTCCATCCATTACACAGATGGAGGCACTGGGGCCTAGAGAAAGGTTGAGGCCCACTTAGAGTCTCACAGCAATCACTTCAGTCAAGGGGTCCCTACACCCCCAAGAACCTAGGATTTCCACCACCTCAGGATGTTCTCTCCCTGCAGGAGGCACAAACCTGTCCCTTCCTCTGCTTAGCCCTCTCTAATCCTCAGTTCAGCAGAATTAGCAAGACAGGCCATCATCCAGATCTTGCCCTTACTGTTGTGGGGTGCATGAGTCCGCCTGGCCATTTACCATGAGTGGGTGGTCTACAGAGACCTGGGTGGCTGCCCAGAGCCCTGCTTGCATCATACATGTCAACCCATGCAGCTCATGCCCTGGGCTGATCTCAAACAGACCCAGGCGTGATTGCTTGTCTCGAAGGCGCCAGAGGATGCCACGCCGGCTGGAGCTTGATGTGGCTGCTCTGCGTCCAGCCTCTGGGGAGGGGGCCAGGACCTGGTGAGAAGAGGCAGAGGAAGCAAAGGGCAGGTGAAGTCATCTCAGAGGGGAAAGACCCAGGTTTAAGTCCCACTTCCACTACTGTGAGTCTTCCTCTTGTCTTTCTCTGCCTCAGTCTCCTCAACTGTAAAATAGAGATAATGCTGTGCCCATCCACCAGGTGTTGGCCCTCAGCATCCAAAGAGAGCAATGGTTATCATAGGCAGAGCATGCGTTCTGCCGTCAAACCAAGCTGAAGCTGACATCCTTTCATCAATCGCCCTGGGTGAACCCCTGCCTCACTTTCCACCTGCAACACCAGAACTATAGTAACTCCTTGGCGGCAGGTATCAGCTGCGTTACTGTTGAGTTTGAGCTCAAGCACAGGAAGCCTTGACAGCAGGAGCTGTGATGCCGGTGATTCAGTCACATATCTGCGCACGTATGCTGAGCTCCTCCAGGCCAGCGTGGAGGGTCAGCACGATGCTGAGATCAATACCAGTTGGCCCAACATGTGTCCAGCACCGGCTGAGCTGGACCTCCTAACAGCCCTATGAAGGAGGAGCTTTTGTCATCATCCTCATTTTCCTGATAAGGAAACTGAGGAAGACCTGGGGAATACCCGCCAGATCCTTCTTCGTACCTGTACCTCATGTGGGGCGTGTCCTGGCCCTCACCCAGGGTAGAGCCCCTCCTTGACTGGATGGGGGCGTGTCCGCGTTTTTGGCTGAGGGGAGGCCCAACCCCTGCCCACCAACCGTTCCCTGTCTTTTCCCAGGTCCGCACCTACCTCGCGAGGCCCGGGGCTTGGTGCGGCCATCGCCCCCACAGCAGCTTCCCGGGCTTTGGCCGCATCCCTGCCGCCCCGCTGCAGGATCTAGGCTCCGCCCCTGCCTCAAGGCTGACCAATCGTGAGGCACCGGCCTCGGCTGCGTCCAATCGAAGCGGGGGGCGCTGGCGATCGCCTGCAGGTCCCGCCTCCGAGGCTGCAGCATCTTTCAGACCGCGGTCCAGGAGGGGCGGGGCCGCGGGGCGCTAGCTAGGGTCCTGGTGAGCGAGGACCTCCACATTCCCTCCTGGGTCTGGGATGCGGCTCTCCCGGGCCCATGGTATGGGGGCGGGTAACCTCAATCCTGCCCCGCCCACTCATTCAGTTGTGAAATTCCCATCAATTGTCTTTGAAGAGATGAAACTAAGATCCAGAGGAAAAAAGTGACTACCTCCAGGTCACACAGGAAGTCAGAGCATCCATTCACTCATCGCATATATTTGGAACACCCACTTGGGGCCAGGAACAGGGCTAGGCCCCGGAAATTTAGTGGCAAGCAAGTGGGTAGAATATAGCCGCTAGTGTGATCTTTTAAAAGCATAAATCCGATGATGTCACTCTCATGCTTAAAGCCACAATGGAACAACATTCAAACTCCTTGCCATCACCCCAGGCCTGTCTGTCTGCCCCAATCTAGACCCAACCTTAACTATCTTCCCTCTCCACCTGCCTCAGCCAGCCTCCTGGGTCCCTGCTGTTCCCTCACCAAACTCTTAGCTGGAGGCTCTTTGTTCCTCTGCTTAAAGTCCTTTCCCCCAGACTTTCACTTGCCTTGGTCCCTCTTGTCCCCTTGCAGGACTCAGCACTCCTCCCCACACTCTTGAGCATGTCACCTTTATTTTCTTCATTTCCCTTCACACTGTGAGATTGCCTGGGTCATTTATTGTCTTATTACATTGGCCCCCTATGTGCCACCCATGCAGGAACCACATGGGCCTCATTTCCTGGTGAGTGTCAACAGAAACTGGTGCTTGATGAGTATATATTGGACTCTTGTGAGTAGGGGTTGCAAAGGGCCTTGATGAGTCCCAGGAAGTGAAAGACCAGAGTGATTGAAGTGATTAGAGAACATCATTAGGCATGTAGGGGCTTACTGGTGTGGTGGTTGACAGTGGTCTTGAGGAACCTGGAGAAGCATTATAAGTAAAGGCGAATGTGAGAAAGATGCTCAGATAAGCATTTTTTTTTTTTTTTTGGTGGGATTGGGGATAGAACTGAGGGCCTTGTATATGTTAGGCAAGCATGCTACCATTGAGCTACATCCCCAATCCCCCAGACAAGCATTTTATTTTTTTAGTTGTAGATGAACACAATACCTTTATTTATTTGTATGTGGTGCTGAGGATCTAACCCAGTGCCTTACATATGCTAGGCAAGCGCTCTACCACTGAGCCCCAGCCCCAGCCCCAGATAAGCATTTTTGAAAGGACACTGGTATTATGTACAAATGCTCAATAAAAAAAATGTGGAGAGAGGAAACAGGAAAGGACACTGGTTGTTGTGCACAATCACATTGGAATGCAGGAGAGGGCAGTGAGGAAGCCTTCCCTGGTTTTGGCAGAAGATGGTATCTTGGCACCAGAAATATGGCTGGCTGGGGTGAGATTAGGGGAGGGAAAACTGGCAGAGGCTGGGGTTATGTGGATGCAGAGTTGGGAAGGAAAGCCAGGGTTGGGGACATAGAAAATCAGTCATGAGAGGGACAGGACTTGAAGGAAGCCAGATTTGGGGGAAGTGAGAATTCAGCTCATGAGAGATGAATCTGGGGTCTCAACACAACCTCCAGCAGACAGCTAGGGACTAATGCATCGAGGCTGAAAGGAGAGCCAGGCTGAAGGCACCCCCTACTCACATGGGTCCAATGTATACTCATCAAGCACAAGCTTCTGCTGGGCACTGACTGGGAAATGAGGCCTGCATGGTTCCTGCATGGGTGGCACGCCCACTCTAGGGGGCAATGTAATAAGCAAATAAGCGAACCAGGCAATCTCGGTGTGAAGGGCGATGAAGGAAATAAGGTGATATGCTCAAGAGTGTGGGGAGGGGCACTGAGAGTCTGCAAGGTGACAAGAAGAAAGGTGATGTCACCCAGGGAGGGTATGGGGAAAGAAGGCCTGCAACCCGACCCTGAAGAGCCCAGCATCTCATGGCACAATAGAGGAGTATGAGGGCCAGAGACACATCAAGCAGAACAGTCGTCACAGACTGAAAGATGTCACAAGCTTAATGGAGCAGAAGTGTCCTTTGAATTTAAAGAGCAGACATCACTGATAGCTTTGGTGGGTACAGTCTTCCTGGAGTGATGAGGAAAGACTGAGTACAGCATGAGGTGTTGGGGGGACCTGAAGGGAATCATTGGGTTGATGGAGGGTCCTGTAAGCAGGAGCCTGGAGCATGGCAGGACATACTGGGAGGAGCTGCTTACACAGTTCCCAGAAGAGAGGGGACTATCAACGACAGGACACCTCTACTAGAGACAGGATCCAAAGCCCAGCGGGCAGCTCTGCCTGGCCTGGAGGATAGAGAGGGTGGAGCAGCTGAGGATGGGCCACTGTGTCTGCAGCTGGTCCCCTTTTCTCTGCGACAAGTGAGCACCCAAGGTTTGAGGGATAGAGGTTTTCCCTAAGTGCATCGGGGAGAGCTGAGGCTCAGAGGGGCTGGTGGGACAGATGGCCAGGCTGTCTCCTCTGCTATCTCATTCAACAGAACACCCAGTGAAAGCAGCCTGCCACAGCCACACTGACTTGGGCTATTGGACGCAGGAGATGGACCACAGACTGGGGCACTTAGGGGAGTGACCCAAGGGTCCTAAAATATTAGACCATATTAAAGTATTAGAGGGGCATGCCTTTGCCTACTTCCCAGCTGTGAACTCTAGCAGTCAGAACTACATCTGCCCCAGTTCCTGCTTTAGCCCATAATCAGCATAGGGACAGTGCAGAGCAGGCACAGCACAAACCCGGGTCTCCTGATTAGAGACCAATGTAGGACCAGCTCCAAGCCCCTCCATCCCCGCTCCCCTGTTCAAGGAAGACAGAGAGACAAACATACCATCAACATTTATTGTTGAGTTCTCCCAAACAGGCCACTCTGGGCCAGGAGCCTGCTCGTCCTAGGTAAACATGGCCTGGGGGCCTGGGGTGGCTGCCTTAATGTGTCCCAGTGCCCTGGGGTCTTCAGGCTTTCCCTAGGGCTTTCCAGGTCCAGATGTCCTTGTGGGGTCTGGGCTGTGTCCGACTCAGAAGCTGCCTTTGGGGAGCAGCAATGCTCAGGGGACACGGGGAGAGGCCATGTGCTTCCTCACACTCTGCTAAGTCCCACATCATCAGCATGTGACTGCAGGGAAACTGAGCAAGGAGGTGGAACCCAGAGGGAAAAGGGACAGTCTGAGAGTGAGGCGGGCAGGCCCTAAGACAGAAGGGAATGAAAGGGAGGCTTCCAGGTCTTTCTCCCTCCTCCTGGCTTCTGGAAGAGTGAGCAAGAGAGGCTTGGTCTGCCTGAGCAGCTCCATCCCTAAGAGGGCTGCCTCGCCTGGACTGTCCTACAGGCTCTGACCCTTGGTCCCTGCTCTGGAGGGGATGGATGGAGAGAAGATGCCGGCAGCCTCCTCTCTGTTGGGCCTTCACTGAGCCTTCTTGGTCACCCTCTGGTTCTTCAGCATAATATAGGTGATGAATAATCCTGGAATGTACGGACCAGAGAGACCAGCTGATACCATGCTGGTGGTACTAGGAGGCCAGGGCAGGGTGAAATGACCACATGGAGAGTCATTTCCCTGCCCAACCACCCCCAAGCCAGCTGCTCATGATCCTTCCCATTCATCAAACCACAAATCCACTCATCCATTCAACAGTCACGGTGAGTGCCCGCCACAGGTAAGATGCTAGCTCCATTTAGTGCTTTAGATTCCATGGCCAACGAGGTCCATGTGTTACTCCCCTATTCATGCCCCTGCCCTCCTACTACCTGCCCACCACCCACCGGCTCATTAATCCCATTGTCCAGTCATCTGTTGATTGACTCTAAAGCACCAACTCAGTGTCACAGCCTGTGCTGGTGCTGAAGACACAGTTCCTTTCCCAAGGAAGCCATGAGAGGTAAAGAGGATCTATGATCCAGGGCAACAAGAGGGTGGGAAGTGACTGAGGTGTGAGCCAAGTGATGATGGCGGAGGGGAGAGGAAAAGGGAGACAAGCCCTTAGTCGCAAGAGCCTGAGGCATTGGAAGACCAGAAAAGTTACCGAGTTGTGGCCTAGAAACCTCAGGGAAAGTAGGGGTCCAGAAGCCTCAAGAAGATGTACAATAATAATAGCCAAAGTGTGAAAGCATGCCAAGGGTAGGAGAGGGTGGTGGCAAAGGGTGACATCCTTCCCAGGATTGGGGCTGATGACTTACCCACAAACAGGAGCAGCAAGAGACCCGCGGCCAGGGGGATGGCAACAGCATACGCTCGAGGGAGGAAGAACTTGTGGATGACATGCTCATTGTCGATGAATGGCTGGTATGAGGGGCAGAGCTCTGATGAGCACTGCTCACCCTGCCCAGCCCCCAAGCCCAAACATCCCATCTCCTCCAAAGGACTGACTCCATTCAGAGCATTGGGACAGCATTTGCTTTTCTTTAAGATGATAGCATTTTGGGTGTTGCCATTTCCTTCCTCTGATCCTTCCTTTAAAAGTTGTTTGCTGAGCACTTGCTCAGTGCCTGCGCTAGGTTAGTGCTGGGGAGCCAGCAGTGAACAGAAGACAAAGGACCTGCCCTAAGAGAGTCTAGCTACAGGCCTCACCAGAAATTCCCAGTCTGGGTTCCCAGGTCGTTTTTTACTAATATTTTTTCTCTACAGGATATCAAGTTATGAGTTTGTCTTCCAAACACACTGCACTTATTAAGCAGATTTTTCCATATGAAAACAAAACAAAACCCCCCTAAAGTCCTCATAAAACCCATGGTTTCTCAATATACTCAGGAGCCAGCCGGCTAAAGGAAGTGCAGAACCCCCCTCAAAAGCAAAGCAAACCCGGATCAGGGCTTCCCAATGTTGTGCAACCTTCCAAGTGTAGCCAGGCAAACTTGGGCCAGATCTTTCTCTTTGGGCCTCATCTTTATCATCTACAAAATGCAGACCCCACTAGCACCTTCTTAGTGCTTTCTGGAGATTTCATGACATAAGGCAAGTAAAGCACCCCGCATAGTGCCTGGCACGTAGCAGCTGCTCACATGGTGTAAGGGGTAGACTTCAAGATCCAGGGATGGGGAAGGTGAGCCGAGGGCGGAGGAGGCAGACATACCAAGAGGATCACCCAGGCGGTATAGTAGGTGAAGATGATCAGGCTAACAGCAACAAGACCGAGTCCCACCACCTGGTCTGTCCCTGTGGCCTGGAGAAAAGGGAGGGCTCAGAAGACGAAGCGACTATCCATTAAGGTGCACTACTGGAAGAGGCATCGCGGCCAATTTACGCTCTAAACTTCTCATTCACTCAACAGCTGTACAGAGTGGCGGATTCTGCATCATCTCCAGGCGCTCCCGCCGGGCTTCAGCATTTTCACCCGTACACGGGCCAGGAGAGAGCAATCCGGCTCCGAGTGCCCAAGCCTCCGCTCCCGAGCACCCCCCAGTCCCACCCCCAGACGCCTCCGACCCAACAGGCACCCGGCCTCAGCCTCACCATTTCCCCCCAGCTCCGCCACCTGAGCAGTGAACCACATCCAATTCCGGATCCGGGACCTTCCGGCCCTGGGCCACCGAGCACGCTGGGAGTCGTAGTCCATAGCACGGCCCAGGCCCATATCACCCGCGACGGGCGGCCGCCCCCGCCCTTTGCATGTCGGGAAATGTAGTTGTTCAAGAGGATTGTAAAGCGGGTTGCTTCCCGAATCTCCCCAGGGAGTGGAACCGAGCCGGGAACTCCGACTGCGTTGGTGGCCACACTCCTCTCAGACCCTCTCCTCCAAAAAGTCCATCTCTAAAACATCCCATAGGCCCAAAGCCAGAGCTAGAAGGGGTTTCGGGTGTGAAGTCCCGTCTTCCAAATATAATAATCGCAGTGGGTGACGAATCCGACGTTGGAACCTGGGACCCCACTCCCTGGTTCCGAGGCCCTAATTTGTCTGCTTAGGGAAGGAGTGCAAAGCGTGTTCACTGAGGAGGACTTTTTTGTTTCTTTTTTTTTTTTCCCCCGTGTGGGAACTGAATTTAGGGTCGTTCTTCCACTGAGCTACATCCCCAGCGCTTTTTATTTCTAGAGAGAGGGTCCCACTGAATTGCCAGTGCTGACCTCAAACTAGCAATCCTCTTGCCTTGGTCTTCCGAGAGTCTGGGATTTCGATTTCAGTTGCAGAGGGGGACACCCAACCCACTATGGCCTGGCTTTCCTGGCCATCCAGGTGACTCCTCCTTTCATCAGCTGCACCTACAGCCCAGGGTGTCACAGGTTTCTGACAGTCCCTGTGGGCAGGTCTATCCTGTCTTGGAGGTGCTTTCCTCTGAGAACAAGGGGAGATTGGGCCAGATCATCTTTGATGCTTTCAGTGCCTGAGGTGGCTGCTTCTCACCCATCAGGTCTCACCAGATGCCACACTGTCCACAGGAAGCTGCTTTTTCTAGCTGGAGATAAGGGCTCCTCTGTGCCCCGACATGTGTTTCTGTCACATTGTTGTATTTGAATTAGCTGATTTGCTCCATGGCCTGGGCCTGCTTACCTGTGAACTCACTGAAGGTAGGGTCTGTGGTCATGACTGTATCCCCAGCACCCAGAATGGGGCTTGGCACAGAGTGGGAGATGTGACTCATCCAGCTTCTGCTATCTCTACTTGGAGCTTGGGCGATAGATGAGGTGGGAATCTGGCATAGCTCACTCTCTGGGGACAGAATGTCTTCTTGGGTCCTTTAGGTCTGTCACTGTCTTTAGGGGCCCCTGAGACAACTTTCCCCTCCCAAGGGTTGCATAGGGGAAGGAACTTGATAATCGCCCTCTGGGGCTTAAAGGGGCCATGATTGGGGTCAGCCCTGAGGAATGGAGATAATGATGTTTTGGGACAGTTAGTGGCTGCCTTCCTTTGGCCTGGCCCAAACCTCTAGGCTTCCTGCCACCTCTAAGCTCATTGAAGGCATGGGGTGACTTCACCCTTTCCCAGAGTTTGCTAACCCACTGGGCTCCTCTGTGGCTTGGGGACCCAGGAACAGGGTGAGGGGCCTGGAGACAAGGCCTTTCAGGGGCTTTAGAAAGGCTGGGAAGAGATGGCCACCTCCTGTGGCTTGGGTTATACACTCACATTTTCATTCATCTGCATTTGCAACTGAGGAACCAGGTAATCATTTGCCCTCAGGCAGACTCCTTTGAGGCCACCTGACCTGCAGAGCCTGGTCAGAACCCACTGGCTCAGATGTCAGAGCTTTCACTAGGTGTGAGCATGGCAACTGCCCCCCTGGGCCTGCTTCCTCCCCAGGAATCTGTAGTAATAAGGAAGTGACAACTGTGATTGCAGTCAGGTCTTGGAGAACCTGGTCATCTAGGCCTTCCCCACCCTTGGACTGTCACCTTAACACACCCAGCTTCCTTCTGATGTTGTCTTTGACCCCAAAGTCAAAATGGCAAATAGCAAGGTAAAAAAAAAACCAGCAAAATAAACAAAAAAATGCAATATTTAATCCCCACCCCCCAAACCAAGACACTGACACTAGGCTGAGTTCCCCTTACAATGTTATTTTCTATGACAGAAGCTGGGATAGAGATACAAACAGCCCACAGGATGGAGAGCAGTGGTGGCAACATTCTGTTAGAAAGGAGGATTAAAAACAAGAAACAAACAAACAAAAAAACCAGCCCATGGTGCCCTCCTCCATCTCCTCCCTAGAGACAGGAAGACAGGGACTTTCTCCATCCTGGCAGATCATCTGTGGGGTGACTAGAAAATAAAGAACCTTAAAAATATTGTAGACCTTTATTTTCTTTAAATCTCCTGGTAAAAACGTTAAACTGTCTTTCAAGAAGATTCCAGACTGGCATTGCACAGACCAATTCCTTTCCAAAAATATCTCTAATAAATTCTCTCTGTATATATAGAATTTGAAGTGCAGGCACTGAAGGTGCCTGGTGGAATTCACTGAGCTTGAAGGAACCTGAGGGCTGAAGCAATGGCTCTCTCGTGGGGAGGAGGCCAGAGCTCCAGGCCTCTGGCTCTAGCCAGCCTTCATTTGGTTAGGGTTAAATTCTCAGACCTGTTACCCTGACCCGGGGCTGGCCTGGGAGGAGGTGGCAGGCTGTCTTCTTTTGAGGGGACCATCCAGCTCAAACCTTAGCTTGTGTGGGGCTGGAGCGCCTGGTATGGGGGAGTCTTCCCCCGCAGCATCAAAGCTGTTTTGTGCCGAGAGCCCCAGAACCTTGAATCAGACCCCAATAAGACCCTGACTGCACTTCCCTGGGCTGGGTGAGGTCACAGGCTTCCCCATCTTCTAGGGGTCACCTCATCTGAGACAGTGCAGCCAGCTTCCTTTTAAAGTGCCAGGTCTCTGCCAGGTAGAAAAGACTCTCCAAGCTGACCAGAGCCTTCTCCAGCCAGAGCCCATGCTGTCACCCTGGCAGGCACCTTCTGACATTCACTTTCTAAAGAGTTATTAGGTGATTGAGACAATGACAACAAAAACCCCAGAAATGCTCTGGTCCCAATGCCAGGGAGTTCCCAACCCCAACTTTTGCCAGCTGGGGACTGGGTGAGGGACCCTCCCACCTGGGGAGGACACCTACACCCTACCCAGAGAGAACCAGAGCCCTGGCTTTGGTCCCACCTGGTTCCACAGTCCTGCTGGGACCCAGCCAGCAGGTGGGGGCAGAGAACAGAGGCACCTCCCCTCATTGGAGGAGGAGGAAACATCGAACTGAGAACTAAAATAAAGAGAAAAAAAAAAAAGAAAAAGGAAGGGAAGAAGAAAAAAAACCCAAAACTATAGGGCTAACTGAACACCAGCCCGCTGGGTTTATACAAAATAAGAGAGACTCAGGGGCAGGGAAGTCTGTCCAGGGCCTGGCAGGCGGCCAGAGCCCTCCTTCAAGCCAGTACAAGGACCACAGGCAAAAGTGCTGAGAGCAGGGGCTTGGGCAAGGGCAGGGCCAGTCTGCTCCCCACTGGGAAAGCAGGCCCCCGAGGGACCCGACCTCTTCTGAACCTGGAGGTGGGGGTGCTTACAGAGGAGGGTGGGGACCTGTCTGGCAGGGAGCCAGCTCCAGCCAGAGCCCACTCACCTCTCCAGCAGGGCCACAGCCTGGGCCAGCTGACCTGAGCGCACAGCTGGGGACTGTGCTTGCCCAGCCCTGCTGGGCCCCAGTCCTTCCCGCAGGAAAGCCAGCTGCTCAGGATCCAGCCCTGGGCAGAGGGTACCATAAGCTCAGGCCTTTCTCCGCACAGGTCTTAGGCCTGAACTGGGCTAGAGAGAGCAGAGGCAGAGCCCCGTTCCAGCCGGGCTGCTTGACCCAGGGCCTCTGGCTGCACAGCAGCAGCACCCAGGAGTCCTCGGGAAGGTGGCACGGGGAAGGGGAAGAGTGGCCTGATGGGACCGTGCTGGGGACGAGCATGTGCAAAGTGCAGGCTGCCAGGGCAGCAGAACATCACTGGGGAGGGCGAGTTCTCATCTGGAATGCGGGTGGGGTCTGAGGTCTTAGCTCCCAGGAAGAGGCCGCCAGCGGTTCCCCCAGGACACAGGGAAGGGACAGCTGAAGTACTAAGCAGCGGGTCACAGGTGGCAGGATTCTGGGGGTGGTCTGGTCCCCTGAGGACATGGAGGCAATGGAGCAAGGCCTTGTTGGGGCCTGACTGAAGCTGATGTGAGTTCACAGGGGGTGAAGCCCCTTGGCCACAGCAGTTCCACATGTTGAGAAGCTGCTGCGCATCCTTGGCTGGGGGCCAGGTCAGTCTCTGCCAGGAACAGTCTTGGCCATCTCTGTCTTCCTCTGCAGCATGGGCCCGCCTGTCCTGCCCTCTAGTGGTTCAGAGAATATTCACAGTGGTGCCCAGGCCTTCATAGGCTAGGAGGCTCCCCTCGAGGATGGGAGGACAATGGAATTATGCTTGGGGGCAGGTGTGGGCTAGAGTACATGGATGAGGCACAGAGGAGATGCGGCGCGGATCCGAAGGGAAAGGTTCCTCGTGGAATGCTGTGGGTCTGGATAACCGAGATGGCAGGGCCATTCTCAGCCGGCTCACCTGCTCCTCAATGGCTTTCAATCACCACTGGCTCAAAGACCCCAGAGGAGACCCTGCAGGGAACAGAGATCGACATGTCCCCTTGATGCTGCAGTTATAAACACTTCCCTGGGCCAGGTCCTGGGGCTGCTTCAGAAGCAGGCAGTCCTGAGCTATAGAGGGGCTGAAATTGAAGCTCAGAAATGTGGTCACTTGCCCAGGGTGACAGAGATGCTAAGTATCAGAGTCTGCAGGGGCCAGAGAGCTGGCACAAGACTCTCCAGGGCACCAGTCACTCGTGCTCCCTGTGTGCTGCCCCCATCCTCACAGTCACCCTGGCTTATTTGAAAGATGATGAAACAAGGCTCAGAGGTTCGTGAGGTTTGCCTAGAAGGCCATGGAGGGAGCCTGGCCAGCTTTTCTCCCTACTGTGGCCAGAACCACTAGTGAAGTAAGTCATGGATGTTTGGGACACAGCATGCCACCTGCCATAATCTCCCCCCAGACACGTTTCCTCAATTTCAGAGAGGGCTACGGAGGGGTGTTTACAAACTTCCAAGGAAGCCCCCAGTTTTCTTGCCCACTCCACCCAGGGCAACTCAAGAGGACTGTTGGGAGATGGTGACTGTAATTCCAAGCTTAAGCCAGCAGGGGTCAGCAGAGCAGCACAACATGGCAGGTTCTGGGCCCTGGGCTGTCTAGTTAAGTCTCTTCTGCTCTGGACTCAGATATTAATTGGGCACTCTTCCACTGAACACAGAAAAATTTTCAGCACAACCCTACATGCAGGAAGTGTGGTGAGCAGGTGTAAGCCAGGCACATGCTCTGAGCCGAAGCCTTGAGGAGCACTCCACCACTGAAGGGTTCCTGCACAAGTCTGACCCTTCCCTCTCTCCTCTCAACGTCACTGCTGCTCATGGCTGTATCCCTGGCACCTGGCTAAATGCCTGATATATAGCTGGTGCTTTAAAGAGTCATTGGGGATGGGGTTGTGGCTCAGTGGTAGAGCACTTGCCTAGCATGTGTGACATACTGGGTTCGATCCTTAGCTTTGCATAAAAATAAATAAATAAATAAAGGTCTATCAATAACTTAAAAAAATGTTAAAAAAGAGTCATCAATGTTATAAAGAGTCATCGCCAACATTATTTTATGGGTTCCCAGATCTAGCAGGAAGGGGAAGAAAAGTAGGGTCCAAAATAAACATGCATTAAGCCTCTGCTGTGTGCTAAGCCCTGTGCTAGACCCTTTCTCAGTGGCCCCCATCGTGAGAGTGTCCTTCAGGGTCCCACCAGAGGTGAGAGTTTGTCTACATCACCTGGTAGATGGGCAAACAGGCTCAGGAATATGACTGGCCCAGGGTCACACTGCGGTGACAAGGTGGCATTTAAAACCAGGTCAGGGGGCTGCAGACTGCTCTCACCACCCTGACCCATAACCGCTGGGCAACCCTTCCCCTGTCCCTTTGTCCCTACCTGTTGGCCAGCTGGATGCCACTCAGAGTGGTGGATCCATCACGGCTCACGAACAGCCGGAGGTTGCTGTCTGTGGGGACAAGGAGGATGGAGGTTGAGTAGGGGTGAGGACACTCCCAGAGCAGGCGCCATCACCCCAGCTCAGTCATGTGGGCAAGCTCACCCTCAGTGTTACTGCCATCCGTGAAGTCTTGGCTCTGCATGATCTTCTCCACGATGGCGTCTGCATCAATCCGTGTATCGTCCACCCATGTCGGGTGGCTTTCCACTGAGTCCTTCTTCCGCCTGGGTGGGGGATAGACAGAGACACATCAGTCAGAGCGGCAACAAGACACTTGGAATGTTCCAGCTGCATTCCATGTTGCATTTCATTTAACCCTCACACCAACCTAGGGCTGCTTTGACAAAGAGGACATTGGCCTACTCCAGGCCTCAGAACGTGTATTTGGAAGATCTAAGGCTCAACTCAGGGAGCACAGAGTCTTCTGGCCCACTGACCATGCTCCTGACCAAGTCATAGAATCATAAACAACATTAACTACACACATGCAGCTTGCAGGCCTGGGGCTATGTCCCTTATAACCATCAGCAGTTGACTGTCACCACCCAACCCTCTGAAGTGGGGACCCTGATGGTCCTGTGTAACAGGTGAAGAAGTAAGAGCTGGAGGGGGGCACTGGGAGGGGTCTGTCCTTCCAGGAGCACTGAGCAGTGGGACTCACCGAAATGAGCGGTCTGACAGATGCAGGGGCCTGGGAGGCCTCGGTGGCTTCTCAGGTGGCCGGTGCTCCCGCTCACCACCCTCAGCGCCCTCCACAGCTATGCTGAGGCCCCCAGAGGCACTACTGCTGGTAGATGTGTTTCGGCGGTGGGTCAAGTC